ATATATATATATATATATATATATATATATATATATATATATATATATATAATATAGGTTAGGTTAGTTATAGCACAAATATTGGCGTTGTCGTAATTTTACAATACCTTGAGCGTGAAAACTCAAGAGTGGCGTGAGTAGATAAAGAAACAAATACACAGCCCAAAATTTAGATAATTCTATATGCCTACCATTTTTAATAATAAATATATTACGAATACACAGTGTACATTTAGATTCTAAATACCTGTGTAAACAACTAATAAAAGATGTACTTCTGGACAAAAAATAAAAAAATATATATAAATTTCTAGGGCATACTATAATAAACTTTCTTTCTTAGTTGACAATGGAGAAATTTTATTAGGTATATTTTCAATTAAACAAATATTACTGCGCTGGATTCAGAGTGCTTCCAAATAGCAGTGACTAAAATATATATTAAATACTAACGAAGTTAGAACAACTTAAAATTTGTAAACTTAACGAAGCTAATAGATGTAGAATATACATAAAAGATCTTTCAAGTCACAGTTTGGAAAAGTCAACGATGCTAAACGACCCTTTTGAAATCAACAAACTACTTCTGGACAAAATTTAAGAGAATCTACTTCTGAACAACATTTAAAACGTTTATTCCAATTTTCATGCCATACTACAATACATGACATTATATTACATTATTTTTTGTAGTTGTAAATGGGAAATTTCTAAAAGGACATAATGTTTTGTCCAGTTTAAGGTGGTTCAATTCATTATGTCACTGCTGGCAGGCAACGATTAAACCATTACATATTTTCAACTTATACCAAACAGGCTTCCGTTCGGGATACAGAACAAACCATCATTTTTTTACATTAAAGCTACTCATAACATTTAGTAGCTCACAAAACCATAGACCATTGGTGTTTGTGTTTATAAAAGCATTTGACATTGAAATGCATGCAATTCTAGAAGCTCTTAGGAATATTATATAAACTACAGATATGCCCGTTTGATACATAATTCATACACTAACTTAATGGGCAGCATAAAGATCCATATTACTGCCAGGAAGTTTCCCATACAAAGACAGATCAGACAGGATTCAACCCACACAAGTCTGATTTTGAGATAAATAGCTTCAAAGTCTATAATATGTTGCATATCACATGTTATTATTATAGCATACCTGTTATATACTATTATATTAGTAAAATTTGTAATTACTTATTCAACACAATTTAAAAAAATACTAATTATTTCTGTTAAAAAAAAATAAAATGTTGGATAAATCATTTTTGATTTTAGGCTATACAAGAAAGTAAGATTTTTTTAAACACAGTAACCCACATACTAATTATAAAACATATTTTATTAATTCAAAATATTTAAGAATAGATTATTAAAAATTTTAATCTTATTTAAAAGTGTATCAAATAATTTTAATCCTCTTCATCAAAGTTCACATTTTCTACTCCAAAACTATCAACATCATTAATAAAGTCAACGGTTCATAAGAAATTATAAAATGGTTTTAGATCTTGTAGTAATAGCTTTAATATTTCTTTGAGATCTTTAATCTTTTCTTTGGATGTGGTTTACCTGTTGGCCATAACTGCTGTTCCAACTCAATATCTTTGAACAATTTCTGCAGTCGACCTTTTTTATATCTACTCTCTGTACGTTTTCTTCTGTTGTATCTGGTTTTATGTAAAAAAAGACTCACTCTTTAAAACTTTAATTTCATGAGTCTTGACTTATTTACTTTCTCTTTCTCTATGTCAACTTTCCTGTCTATGATACATTCCAATAGTTTGTCAATTAAAACCATTTATCCTCTTTCTATTTTTTTAAAAACAAATTTGTTTTTTCTCTTACACTCTTTCATAAAATTAATGTAGTATACATATATGCGTGTATAAGCCCTGTTGCATCTTTAAAGAGTTTTCAATATCCCCAAATTCTAAATCATTGGGCAGAAAGGTATGTCCTGGTAGTAAGAATCGTCAAGTGATAAAATCGAGAGATTGATTACTGATTGATTGACCACCACATTGATTGGTGTTTTGACCACCGCAACAGTCTAACCACAGAACAAAGTTTTTAACAAGTGGATTAATATTAATATGATCTTTTATGTACTTCCTTAAACAGGATCCCACCTCTTGGGTTCCTCTCCCATCTTCATGTTCCCTAAAGTACAGTAAATATTATGTTGACTTATCTTTTTATTATTAGGAAGGTTTTATCACTTTTCATCTGGTTTAGGATCTGTTTAATATATAAATTAATACTATAAAAACTATTAACGAAATATTAAAAGATAACCACGATTCTCTAATCTGCTGTTTAACTGTTATGGCTCCAATATGGGTTGATATAGGATTGAGTGTTATATATCATCAATAAATAAACTTGAAGTAGCTGATTGTGGATTGAGTGGCTTTTAGCTCGAATTGATTGTTAAACGTTTTTTGCGAAATTGCAAAAATTATGGATTAAAATTTCAATTGTATCACTCTTTTAAATACTGATGTGGCTTAAATCATTTTTGCATAATTTAAATAATATAATCTATCGTGATATTAATATAACTCAATTTTTAATGTTTTGTAGTTTAATTGCTTTTTACATAACACCATATATACATAAATATATTCTTTGAAATTGGTTAATACCTTCAAATTTTACATAGGTGTTTCCATTTTAAATCGATCACACTCTAAGATGTGAGTGATCAATGTTTAATTCCCTAATGTCAATTTACTCTATGGCTTTATTTTAGAGGACGTATTAAATCGGAAAGGCAAAAAGTGCATTCTTGACTATGAGCTCTGTGTTTCAGAGCCATGACCTCACCCTAGAAACCAAAAATAAGGCTCCTTTAATGTTATGTGTACTCAGTGCTTCTGTACGGAATAAAAACGTGGACATTGAAGGCGAAAACTCTATCAAAACTTCAGGCTTTTGAGCTGTGGCTATGCAGAAGGATCCTGAAGATACCATGGACACACAAAGTCACCAATGAAGTACTGAGGAGGATGAATACAACTGCGAATTTGGTCAACATCGTGAAAAGCCTTAAGCTGCAGTATTTGGAACATATAATGAGAAATCAAGGCAGATACGAGCTACTCAATGCATTTTGCAAGGTAAAATTGAAGAAAAAAGGGCCACAGGACGAAGAAGAATATCCTGGCCTGCTAACCTGAGAAAGACCACAATACAGCTATTTCGTATAGCAACCCACAAAGTCATCATAGTCAGAATGATCGCCAACTTTCGGAAAGAACAGGCATCCTAAGAAGAAGTAGATTAAATCAGAGGGTGGACACTATAAAGAGTAACATATCTCCAGGAAGTGCCGGTATACTTGTAGAGCTTATTAAAGGTGGAGGCGGTACTCCTACTAATTAGATAAAGCAAATAGTAGTTAGAGCTTGGAACGAAGACAAAAAAAGGTTATCAATTGTAATGCAGGAACTATGGCGTATAACCCTTCTGAACACAGTATACAAAATATTTTCGAGTCCTGTATAGTCTCCTACGATCGTATTCAGGTATCGTATTGGCAAATATCAAAGTCGTTTTAGGTTTGGTCGATCAACAACGAACCAAATTTTTGTGCTGAGGCAGATACTGAAAAAATCCAACGAATTCAATATTTCTGATAAACCAATACGACTGGTAAGGGCTACGACGCGTGTCGCCCATTCACTGTTAATAACTCTAGTTTTGAAGTGGTGGACAAATTTACATACTTTGGCTTCCTGATGACCAACGACAACTCTATAATGGAAGAAATCAAAATAAGAATAATTCTAGCAAACAAGTGCGATATTGGCTGCATAGACACATTGAAAAGTAAAAAGTTAAGTCAGAAAACAAAAATAACAATATACAAAACCATTATACTACCAGTGCTGACATATGGATCGGAAACATGGACCATTTCCATAACAGACGAAAACCTCTTGCTCACATTTTAATGAAGAATCCTGAGAGGAATATTTAGTGGTATTTTTGTTATTTGGAGAAGGAAATATAACTATGAAATGAACTGTGAAACAGATATCTGGTGGTAAAGACGTGATATCTCTAGTATCGTATATGAAATAGCAGATCGCAGCAGAACAACCCTCCTAGACGAATCCTTATGTCACACACGGTGGAAAGTAGACGGAGAGGTAGGCCAAAACGTGTAGACGAAAGTACAACAAAAATAGGTGCAATAATTGGCAATATATAGGGCTCACGGGCGAAATAGATTTGGAAAGGTTGAGGCTCTAATATAGGGTGTTAGTACCATTGATTATGATTATAATGATATTTCATTTCCTACTTTATTTTTTCTTCGTAGCCCGTTCTCCTAGTTTTAATTTTGTTATGTCCTATCAACTATATAATAATTATGAACTAATGTTTTTGAATCCTTGTCAATTCAGTTCTCGGAAATGTAATGTTCTTGCCGATACCAATCTTTCTTTAGATATGAGCCCTAAAAAAATGCATTACTTTTTAACGATTTCAGTTATATGACGAATTTTAGTCAGCCTTCTTACCCTTTTCATCAATAACATTTTGTTATTCATATGTACCCTCCCATTTTTCTTTGTATTATTGTTGATTTCTGTCTCTCTCAGATCTAATAACTTAAATTTCAAATTGTACACTTCTCCTATGAACCTTCTTAATATAATATTAATCACAAAAATACTTATTATTTTAACACTTTTGTAACATACTTTATTAGTGTGGTGTTAGAGTTTTTTGGACTGCCCTTTATATTTTCCGATTATAAGATGAAAACATTGCAAACTACATAAAAATATTAGATTATCTGTTAAACAAGGCCAATGTGCATATTATTGAACAATTTAAATGCAATTTGTTTACTATAGCTCTTAAAAATATATAGACATGTAAAATTATGTGACATCCAAATGTTTGAGCGAATTGTATCAAACAATTACGAACCTATAAACAACGATACCTACCTAAAATGTCGAGATGTGTTTAATATACAAAACTTTAATTATGAAAACCAATTAGAATATAGTATTTATCGCAATTTAACATAATCCTCCTGCATATTCGTCTTCCTCGTTTTCTTCTGTATGTACTTCTTCAGTAGCATTTGAAGGTTGTTCATCGTTGCTGAAGACCTCTAACTCCTCCTGTAAATAAAAATTTCGTTAATTATGTCATGTGTGCATCTTAAAACTTTTTGAAACTATTCTATGGATAGGCTTGAAAAAAGTATACTTTTTAAATTGGAAAACGATCTCAACTTGGCATCAACATAAAATCAGTTAATACTGTGATGGACCATCGATTGAATATCGGATATTCAATCAACGAGTACTTAACGCAAATCGTGCACAGTTCAGTTCTATACAAGGGTACTGTCAATATGTTTCTGAAACAAGTTTGTATTGTGCAGGTAAGGTTAGTTCTTGGTTCTTCTTCTTTAAATGTCGTCTCCCAATCGGAGGTTGGATATCATCATCACTACCTTTACTTTATCTACTGCTGCTCTAAATTCTTCAACCATGACACTCTCCTTCTTCCTATACTCCTTCCTCCTCTTATCTTTACCTGTATAATCAGCCTTAGTAGTTCATATCGCTGTCCCCTCATTACGTGTCCCAGATATTGTAACTTTCTTATTTTTATTGTGTTTATTATTTCGAATTCTTTGCCCATTTCTCGCAATACTTCCGTGTTAGTTTTCTTCTGTGTCCATGCTATTCTAAGCGTCCTCCTGTAACACCACATTTCAAAGGACTGTAACTTATTTATGTGTTCTTGCTTCAATGTCCAGCTTTTAAGTCCATATTGCAGTATCGAAAACACGTAGCATCTCAGTGCTCTTACTCTCAGTTCTAATCTAAGATCTTTGTTGCAGAGAATTGTTTTTATTTTTACAAACGCATTTCTTGCTATTTCTATCCTAGCTCTTATTTTGGTTGTTTGATTATTATTGTCTGAAATCCAGGTTCCTATCTATTTGTATTTATCAACCCTTTCTATCGGTACATTTCCCAAATGTTTGTTTGTTGGTATATTTGTTTTCTTTGTTATTATCATGTATTTGGTCTTTTTTATATTCATTTTTAGTCCATATTTTTCACAGAAACTGTTTGTTTTGTTTAGCAGTAATTGGAGTTGTTCAGCAGAGCTTGCCATAATCACGGTGTCATCTGCATATCTTATGTTGTTAATAGATCTTCCGTTAATTATTATTCCTTCACTTTGAGATAGTAATGCTTCTATAAAAATGGCTTCACTATATACATTAAATAGTAATGGCGACATAATAAATCCCTGCCTAACTCCTCTCCTGATTTCAATTTGTGGACTGGGTTCGTTATCTATTACGATTAGTGCTCTTTGATTCTAGTAGAGGTTTGTTATTATTCGTAAGTCCCTGTGGTCTATGTTTTTTGTCTTTAGAATTTGGACTAATTTTTCATGTCTTACTTTGTCAAATGCTTTTTCAAAATCCACGTAACAAACATGCACATCAACATTCATATCCATGCATCTTTGAGCTAACACATTAAAAGCAAATAACGCTTCTCTGATTCCTAGTCCGTTTCTGAACCCAAACTTACTATCATCTATTCCTTCTTCCAGTTTTTATTTATACGACCATGTATTACTTTCAGGAATAATTTGAGAATGTGACTTATTTGTGATAGTGTTCTGTATTCACTGCAATATGTAGCGTTTGTATTTTTAGGGATAGCACAAAAGGTGGAGAGTAACCATTGTTTCGATATGTGTCCTGTTTTGTATACTGAGTTAAATAAGTCTACTATAATGTCCAAGATTTCATCATTCATGCATTTTAAGATTTCTATAGGGATTTCGTCTGGACCTAATGCTTTACCATTTTTGCTGTTTTTTAATGCCATTTTAATTTCCTCTTTCAATATCTTTAAAACCATATTATATTCTACTTCTATCTCCATCTGTTCTGTTTTATTGTCTTTGAATAGTTCATTGATGTATTCTGTCCATCTCTTTAATTTGTCTTAGTATTCAACACAAGTTTCCCATTTGCATCTTTCAGTATTCCCGGTTTTCTTGTTCTATTGTTGTGAGTTAATTCTTTAATTTTTCTATATGTGTTAAAACTATCATGTCTTTTCTGGTATTCTTCTATTTCCGCGCATTGTTCTTTTAGCCATTGTTCTTTCGCTTTCTTAATTCTGTACTTGATTTGTTTATTCACTTTTTTGTACACGTGGTTATCTTTGTTCTTATATTGACGTCTTTCTTCCATTAAATCTAAAATTTCTTCCGTCATCCATTGCTTCTTTTTATATCTGGTTTGTATTAGAATTTCTTTTTAACTTTTATCTATTTCTGTCTTTATTAATAACCATTTTTCCCCGTCTCAGTATTTTGCAGAATTTGTTCTTTAACATCCATTAACCCGTTGTTGATTTCATCTGCCAGGCGTTGCCTTATGAGTGTGTTCCTTAATTTACTTGTATCGATTTTTCCATTTGTTGTACTTCGCTTTATTATTTTCATTTTGAGCCTAATTCTGGCACTACTGGGTTGTGATCTGATCCTATGTCGGCACTTGAATAGGTGTTTGCGGATATAATTGCGTTCCTGTATCTTTGTCTAACTAATAAATAGTCTATTTTTCTTGCAATTCTCCCTTGTTGATCTGCTGGTGACTTCCAGGTATATGGTCTTCTTTTTGGCATTTTGAACAATGTATTAGCTATAACAAAATTATTGTTTTGGCAAAATTCGATGAGCCTGTCACCCCTTTCGTTTCTGTTGCCCAGACCATATCCTCCTGTACATTCTTCTACTTTTTCTTCCCCAACCTTTGCGTTAAAGTCTCCCATTATAATTGTTAAATCTTGCGTTTTAATGGATTTCAAAATGTTGTCTAGGTCTTCGTAGAAAGTTTCAATATCGCTCTCTGGTTTGTCTGCAGTTGGAGCATAAACTTGTAGTATGTTTATTTTGGGTTTGTTCTGGTTTAATTGTAAGAGTATAATTCTATTGGAGTATGGAGTGAAATTTATTACAGCTTCATCAATGTTAGTGTTTTCAATTGAGCCTAAATTGTCTTTTCTTATTGATAATATAAATTTTTCTAAATTTTATCCAGTGGGGGCTTTTGGGGGTAGGCAGGACAGGCCGGGCCTACCCAATAATTTTAAGAGCTTTAAAATTGAAAAATATATATTCAAAAATTATGTTAATGCATGTAAATAACTTTTAAATGTACTAAATCACTCAATACATTAGCGTCCGCTAAAACAACTATGTTATTATATTACCACAGAAAGCATCAAATCGTATTTAGGCATTTTAAATATCATTAATAGGCCCGATAGTAACTGGCCGACCCAGCGCACATAAGATCCCCGTACAAAAAGCGTTTGAAGTTAAGCAGTTTGCCGGACAACGATTTATATTGGCGTGTTTATGCTCGCTGTGTAGGCACCAGACGATCGGGCCTAGCGTCGACCATCGTTGTCACTTGTAACGTAATTATCGAATTGTAATATAAATTTTCTTTTAAATTATGATAAAAAAATATGTAACATAATCTATAATTGTAACATATTTTTAAACAAACAACACAATTGCAAACAAGTTCACGGTTGCATAAATAAATTTTAAAAAATTCGTAAAATTCGAAAAAAAATAATCACATTTGCATGATTTCTAGATCTTCTGATTGTATGCAACTTATATATGGCAACACTGGCATTAGTTCAATTTTCACTGTTATCTGTTATTACTAGTTGCACTAGTTGTTTGGTCGATCAAGGTTGATTTTTAAAAAATTTTCTTGGAATAGTGAGATCGTTTTATAACTGATACATAAAAATGAGTTTTTCTGACGCTTTACCAGGTTGCAGTAATAGTAATGTTGATAGTGAGTGTTTGGACATTGTTGTTTCACTATTGGAATTGCCATTATCTAGAAGAACTGAAGTTGATAGAAAAAAAATTATTATGAATGAAAGGCCTACTCCAACATTGCGTATTGACCAAAAAGATGGGAAAAAGGTGCGTACTTTTAATTGTTCTTGGTATGATGTCTATAAATGGTTTTCTGGAAGTATTACAAAAAATAGACTATATTGTTGGCCGTGTTTGTTATTTTCTAATAAGAAATGTGTATGGAATTGTGAAGGATACTTTGATTTAAAAAATATGTCTCCTTAAAAAACATTCCAGTTGCAAGGAACATTTAAGTAATTTCCTGTCCTTTAAGGATGTACAGAAGAGGGCGTTTTCTGTTCGCGATTTGCTAGATGAAAAATCAAAAATCGCAAAAATTAGATACAATGCAGAAGTTAAAATAAACAGAGAAATCATTAAAAAATTAGTTTCTTTAACTTGTACTTTAGCGAAACAGGAACTGGCTTTCCGTGGCCACGACGAATCCGATGATTCACTAAATCCTGGAAACTGGCAGAAAAAAAATATATTTCAGAGGTATCTCAAAAACGATACAAAACGAACTAATCGATCTAGTGAAAGACGAAATTCATATTTTTATCGAGAATGCCATAAACAACTCCACATTTTTTGCATGCATTGTTGATGAAACAACCGATATTACTGAAAGGGCACAATGTTCAATAGTATGCAGACTAGTGGACACAAAAGGCGTTGTTCAAGAATATTTCTTAGGTTTTTTGATCTCGGGGAAGACCGAAGTGCTCCAGCGTTACGTGACTTACTGTTTAGTGTAATCGGTAAATTTGACTGTAAAGCTAAATTAATTGCTCAAACCTACGATGGAGCTAGTGTTATGTCGGGACAACTTAATGGACTTCAAAAATTAGTGAGAGATTCTGCACCATTGGCAATATTTACCCATTGTTTCGCTCACCGCCTCAACTTAGTTTTACAGCAAAGTTGCTCCAACATTACAACAGTCAAAATATTTTTCTCAACGCTTTAAGGTATGCCAGCTTATTTTCACCAATCGTCCAAACGATCCTATTTTTTAAATAAAATACTTGGAAAACGAATTCCCACAAATAGTGAAGTAAGATGGAATTCAAATGCAAAAGTAGTTTATGCTGTGTCACAAGAAAGAAAGAAATTGTTACAAGTCTTTCAGGACATAATGAATTGCCCAGAATCAAATGCAAAATCAATTAGGCAGGCAGATGGTTTTAAACGTAAATTGGAGGACTTGGAATTTGTATTTTTATTAAATGTTTTAGTGATATATTTCAACAAACTGAGCTCTTATACAACATATTGCAGAAGAAAAATAATGATGTCCAATTGTGTGCCAATTCAGTGTCCAGATGTGTTGCAATGTTAAAGAGCTGGAGAAATGACCTTACATTTTCTAACCATTTTAACATTTCTGTTAGCGAAACACATTCTGAACCCATCTTAAGTCATAGTGAACTTGATATTTTACCTGGTAGTGTATCTAATAACGGAGATCAAAGTTTTTTGGAGAAAGCTAAAACTAAATTTAGAAGGGTCTTTTTTGAGATTTTGGACAATATTATCACTCAATTAGAGCAACGTTTCTCGGATTACGCAAAGTTTCAATTTCTGGAATTGGGCGATAAGAAAAGATTCACAGAATATGGCGCTAAATTTCCACAAAAAGCTTTGGACTCATTGATGGATACATATGAACCACTTTTTAATAAATCTTTATTAAAAACAGAACTGGAAATGATTTTTTCTGCTATTCATCGTGAAAATTTTCACGATAAGAGTTTGTTAGAACTAATTAAAAGTATGTTTGATAACGAAACCAATGAAATTCTTCCTGAAAGCTATAAGTTATTTTGTTTACTTGCTACAATACCTGCAACAAGCGCTTCAGTTGAAAGAACGTTCTCCACTTTAAAGCGAATAAAGTCATCTTTTCGAAATACAATGACGCAAAATCGGCTTTCATCACTGGCTACTGTATCAATCCAGAAAGATGTTCTTGCTCGATTAATGGAAACGGGCGACACATTTTATGAACGAGTAATTGACAAATTTGTACAAAGCAAAGAGAGAAGAATAAACCTGCTCTATAAATAATAAAATGTTTTTGTAATCTACGTGTATATTTTAGTTCATAATTTTATTTATAAACAAATAGTTTACAAATAACATAATTAAATGTAAGTCTGTTACAGTTACCTTATAATTTTAAGTATTTTTATAAATAAAAATAAATTTATATTTGCATGTATGTAAAAGAAAATCATGGATCTTGAGGGTGATTACTTTTCTCTGATGCAAAGTTATTTTAATCTTACCACCAATAGGATAATTGGATTTTCAAATATTTTTAAGGGTGGGTCATGACCCCGTGACCCTTCCTCTGGTCCGCCAGTGATTAGACATAGCTATATGTAATTTGCTGGCTTGGCCTACCCAAAATTTTACCACACCAGCCGCCACTGATTTTATCCCGGTTTTGTTAGGCCTTTTATTAATGGTGTTACATATATGTAACGCTAAGAACATGGAAGGAAAACTTTTAGAATTGTAACGTATTTTGTGTTCCAGAAAAGCGTTTTCTCTTTAAGAAGCGATGTAGATTATTGATGCCGATGAATCTTTAGACGTTAATGATACACTGAACCACCCAGAATTTATTGTGCTTAAAGACGATATAACTGGTGATGAAAAAGATAATGATTTGAACAGGTTGTCCGGGAGAATTCTTAGGGCACCTGTTGAACTTGTTTTACGAAATAGTGAAAGAGATTCTGAAATATATGACATTGACGAGTCTGGGCTTTCCAGATCATCAGCAAAAGCTAAAAAATAAAGTGAAAGAAAAGTTGAAGTTTTCCTAGATCAATGGTGATTTGATCCATCTTAATCCTTCTTCTTCTTCGCGTGCCATATCAGATTTATCCGACGTTGGCGATCACCATTGCGAAGGCATCTCGATCTTCTGCAATATGAAATAATTGTCCTGCATTTGGTATCTGAGTCCATTCACGAAAGTTTTTTAACCAAGAAATCTTAATCAACCATCCAACCATCTTAATCCACTTATTTTTATTAAGGATGTTACATCCTTGCATTTTAATATTCCTCTATGTTTCTTATAGAGCTCGAAGTTTTATCGCCTTACCCATTATTGTATGGAGTACAAAACTGGAGAGTGAAATCAACAAATCTGTATAAATTAGATGCCTTTAAGATCTCAGCAATCAAATTAAGAAAGGAGAGCATACATAAACCAACTACTTCGCAATTAAAAGTACTATATTCCTCAATTGTAATAAAAGATCATATTAATGGAAAAAATTGCATAGATAGGAAAAAGCTCACACAATTACTTAATATTAGAAACAGTACAGGATTGGGCTTCGAAGAGTGAACCAGACCAATTGAACACAGAGACGGGTTTGATGAGAACACGTAGAGACGATACCTGCAGCATACGATATAAATCAAATAAAATATAAGTATTGGTATTATGTTAAGATTATAAAAAAGTTAAAATGTACTTACATCTCCTTGTGCTTTGGATACCACATCAATTGATGCCGAGGGGTTTTCTTGGACGACGCGAGTTTGGGGGAGCGAACTTTCTGGCAACTTCATATCCCTGGCAAGTATCGCGTATTCTACATCCATGTGTTTGATAAACGGACTGTTTAAGGCTCGCTTAGCGGCTTCTGGATCTTCTTCGTCATAAGCTTGTAGCAAAGATTCCAAAGTTTGCAATTCTGGAGCTTCACAGTAGTTACCTAGAAGAGTAAAATATTATTAAATCGTGGTAATAAAACAAAAACTCAAAAGGGGGTTTGTGGAATATTTAATAATAAATACCCTGATTAACAAGTTTCACAGTCTACAGTTAGCAAAATTGCAGGGTTGGACAAAAAAATGTTTTTAAAAAAAAAACACAAAAACATGTTTTTTTTTTATTTAAAAATAATGTTTTTTGTTTTAAAACAGTTTTTTTTTTTCATCTAAAAAACACTGTTTTAAAACAAAAAAACACTGTTTAAAAACAAAAAAAAAACGTTTTAAAATAATTACGTACTTCACTGGATTTCTAAAGGGGATTCCCTTTAGAAATCCAGTGGCACCTCAACTGGCACACATATGGGCTTTGGATAAATGCCAGAGAAAAACCTGCACCATAGCAGATGCAACAGACATTTGGAAGGACTTACTGGGTTATTTCCAAAGTGAAAGTGAAGCTCAATCTAACGGTTGTAGCAACGTGTTGGAACTTCATAAAGCAGAAGCACGTTTCCAACTGGATATAACAGATGCGCATTATTTAGCTTATTTATTAGACCCTCAGTACTTAGGTCAGAAACTCTCTGAGGTGGAAGTTGATAGAGCATTGTTATTTATTTCGGATTTTCACCCAAATGTAATGCCCGAAATACTGTCATTTCGTGCCTTAGCACCGCCATTTAATAAACAATATTTGTTTGCAAAAAATACAGTAGACAATTTAAGTTCTTTAACATGGTGGCTATCTCAAAAACAGTTTATTTCATCGGAGTTGTTGCAGCTGACAACTCAATTATTTTCAGCAGTTGCATCCAGTGCTGGAGTGGAGAGGCTATTTTCTTCATATGGTCTAGTTCACTCGAAATTGAGGAATAGGTTAGGAAGTGACAAAGCTGCTAAGCTAGTAACAATATTTCAACATTTAAATAAAAATGTTTAAGGTTACATTATTAACCGTAAAAGCTCTATATTTATAGTTTTTATTTTTTTAAGGAACATTCATTGTTATTTTTATTTTTTGTATCACATATCAGTTGCTGGATGTAGGACTGTGAAATAGATGCTGTTGTAATTCAATAATTATTTACTTAATTTCTTAATTTTCTTTTTCTTTTAACTTTATTAGGAGTATTGGTCTAGTTAATGTTACTACAGCACTGTCGTAACAGTACTAGTATGCTTGCTACCTGAAGATAAATAAAGTTTAGTCACTTACTTTTTTTGAGTTTTACTTTTTACTTAGCAATCTTAGCATTAATATTGTTATTGCACCTACTTACTCTATAATCTATGTTTGCAATTTTGCAAATTAGCAAACACAAATGTCTTATAACAAATGTTAATAAACAAAATAATAATAAACAATAACGAAAAAAAAAACTATGTTTTAAAACAATGTTTTAAAACGGTGTTTTAAAATGCAACTGTTTTTTTTTAGTGTTTTTAAACATGTTTTAAAACGTTGTTTTAAAAAGCTTGTTTTAAAACAGCCCAACCCTGCAAAATTAAAAAGAAGTTTCGGTGTACTGGACATGTAAAAAATATTGAAAAATCAGGTAGAAATGATAAATTTACTGATGAAAAAAAGTTAGATGTACTTCTAGAATTTGAGGAAAATCCGTATAAGACAACTCAAGAATGAGTCGTCGCCGCCGTTAATGATGTAGGTAAATCATATATTTTGAGAGTTTTGCATATAGAAAAATACCACCCTAACAAAACTCAGTTGCTTCAGGAGTTAAATGAAGATAGAAGGCAAGAATTCTGTGAAATGATGATGGACAGAATCAACGCAGATTTGCAGTTCATAAACAAAATGGTTTTTTCTGATGAAGCGACATTTCATTTAAACGGAACGGTTAACAAACAGAACTGTAAATATTGGAACAGAGAAAATCCTCACTGGGTGTGTGAGACTCCTAAAAAGTTAAAGTTTGGGCTGGTATCATTAACAATAAAATTATTGGTACCTATTTTTTTTGAGGACACAGTTGATGGTGAGGTTTATCTAGATTTTTTTATTAACTTTTTAGTGCCTACATTACCAAGATTTTTTCCTGATATTAATCATCCAAATGAGATATATCGATTTATTTACTACCAACGCAGACGGAGCTCCACCGCATTTTGAACGTATAGTGAGAAATTATTTAAACGAGATTTTTTCCCAAAGGTTGATTGGAAGACGTGAAACGATCGAATTGCCGGCTAGATCCCCCGATTGGACTCCTCTCGATTACTTTTTATGGGGTTATTTAAATCTAAAATATATTTTAATAGACCAAACAGTTTTGCTGATTTATAAGTTAGGATAACGGAAGAAATTAACAAAATAACCTCGAGGTCGTACAAAATGTTGTACGAGAATTCCAAAATCGCCTCGGTTATTGTCAAGAAGTGAATGGTGCTCATATTGAATATTTAATTTAATTGTAAAGTACATTGAAAAATATATTCTAAATATTATGTGACATTATTATCTTCATTTAATCATTTAATTTGTGATAGAGACATTATCAAAATTTTACATCTTAAAAATCAATTTTCTCAGTTAGGATTGCACCACACTTAAAAAACTTTATACTGCTGAACAAATGACCAAAATCCCTTTCTAACAAGGTGCCATACGACCCCCTTTGTTATTTAAAATTTTTGAGGGGGTGTTTATAATTCAAGGGGGTGCTGGAGAGGTATAATATTTTCATACTGTAAATTGTAAATTTAAGAATAAAAATCAACCTGTTTCAGGTTTTTTTCACATAGTACATAATAACGCTAAAAATGAATTTATTACATACATATGGACCGCATGTTTAGCTTGAAGACATATTAATTATTGTGAAAATTTTATATCTGAAACTATCTTATTGAAACACCATCATGCAATTATTATATCTTTACGGTAATAGTAAGCACGAGGCTGTTCCATAGTAGATGAATAATGTAGTGGAATTTTACCTCTGTAACGACTAATTGATTTGTATAGGAAGATACAGGTAATTAAACTTACCCCATTCTTTAAATGCCTTTTCTGCGGCAACCACGTCACCTCTAGCTAACTGAACTAACACTAATGCAACTGTTAGTCTACCAGTCGCTTGATATGACTCATTTTGCTGGTGTAATCCTAACTCCCTTCTGATAGCATCAGCTGCTAAGTCATAGCTAAAACAATAATACATAGAGCGTGAAACAAAATTAAGATCTAAAGAATCTCTTAATGATAGTATACTGAAGAAATCAGTTTTGTAATATGGATGAAACTACTTTAACTTAAAAATTTAGTATATCTACACTGCGCGTCACGAAAAAGAGGACACCTAAAATTTTTGCCATTTTTTAATTTTTACGAATCATACCACAAATTGATTAACATTAGATGTTTGAGTAATGTTTAAGAATATGTTCTAAATCAGTATGCATTCATTTTTTAAATAACAAATGTCAAAAAATAACTTCTTCCGTACATTGTACATTTTTTCCGTTTTATTTATAAAATTACAATTAAGTCGTGATTATTAATGATGTGTATTAATTACCACCTCATTTGTGAATTACACTCCTCATTCGATTTGGCATTGAATTGATCAAATTCTGGATGTCGTTTTGAGGAAAAGCTTACCATTCTTCCATGAGCGCCAACCGAAGCTGCTCACGATTTATTGGAGCAGGTATTCTGTTTCTTACCCTTTGTTTGAGTTGGTCCCAAACAGTTGACAGTTTCCAGATATTGCGTTACCATCCTGGCTACGTGTACCCGCGCGTTGTATTCTATAAAAATAAAGTTTTCACCGAAAAACCCAGTAAACGGCATAACATGCCCGTCTAGAATTTCGGTAATGTATCGGTGTGTATTCAACGCTTCTCTATCAATGAATACGAGATCAGTACGGCCCTCGAATGAAATGCCTGCCCAAAACATTACCGAACCTCCTCCAAAAGCAACAGGTACTCGTCGAACACAAGCAGCATTTCGTTCCCCACGCCTTCTTTATGTTTTGGTGCGACCATCTGAGCCATAAAGAAGCATCCTAGACTCGCCACTAAACAAAACATTTTTCCAATCTTCTATCGTCCATTGCTCGTGGTCTCTAGCAAACTGTAGTCGGCATTGTCGATGTGCTGCTGTTAACAAAGGTCCTGTTGCTGGACAGCGAGCCCTTAGACCAAATTCCCTTAACCATCTTCTCACGGTAGAAGTGCTTAAAGTCCACCCGTGAGCATTCTGAAAACGGTTTTGGACTTATGTAGCCGTAAAGAATCGATTTTGCAAAAAGTGCGTTGTAAAGAACGGTCTTCTCAGGCCGTCGTGATTCTTCTCGGGCCTGATCCTGGTCGTCGTTCATGAGATCCAGTCTCTACGAATCGTTGGTAAATTTTTTGAACCATACAACGACTGACTTCAAGCTGTCTGACCACTTCTCTTTGACTCATTCCATTACCAATCAAAGTAAGAATTTGAACAGATCTAGCAAATTTATAGTTTCAGCCATAGTTTTTAATTTAAAAATTGCACAAGTTTACTCTTCGAACAACTGTACACTAGTGAAAGGTTTTTGAAAAAACACAATAGCCATATTCCAAGAAAAATAGGGTACAAACAACAAGTACATTATCCGAAGTCGTGAAACTGATATCAATTCTGCCAACTTATTACCCTTAATTGACCTGTCGGCACCGTTTGTCGGTGCCTAAAAGACGGTAAAAGTGTTTCTGCGTTATGGGAATTTAGTTACAATAGAATAAATTGTATAAAATTTATTAAAAATCCTTTATAAATGGTATATATTTAGACCCAAACGGGCTAAGTTAAAAAGACAAAACGTTTTCGGAATCCATATTCCATCATCAGTGTCTAAGAGTACATGAATGTAGCCACTAAATATATGGGTAAAAACCCGTTAACAAATAATTAATTCAATATAAGGTTGAATGTTCGAATAAATGAACTTTGATGGTACACAAGGCAAATATCGAACACAGTATACTGTGTTCGATATTTGCCTTGTGTACCATCAAAATAATTAATTACATTTAGTTTACAAATTTTCTTATAATGGTTTAGGATGTTAAAGTTACCGTTGGATTAGGTAACATGGCGACATATGACTCCACGTTGAAGTTGCTAGTCTTGAGACAGTGTCTCTACGAAGACTGTATGGGTTCCATACAGTAAAAAATAGAATTTAAACCTTAAACCACATAATACAAAATTTTATTTAAAAACTCCTTCATAAAAGGTATAATAATATAAAAGAACCCTTTCCAGCTACATCACAAAACATTTTCCGAATGACTATATCATCAGTGCTTTTTCTAGGTTTACATGTGAGAGGCAACTAAATATACGGGTAAAAACCCTTTAAATATAGTTAAATCAATTTGGGATTATATGTTTACTGATAATACTCTCACGGCAACGTCAGACTCCAACACCGGGGTTACTGGCCCTGAGACAAAGTGTCTACGAGGACTTTATAACGAGCTATATAAATATTTGCATTATATATGAATATTCCGTTTTTGGTAAAAAAAGTTAGATATTATCTACTCAAGTGGATTGCAACCTAAGTCGTCATAGTCTTCATCATCCGAAAATTCAGTTTCATTGTCATTTGTATACTCTTCCAAGTTTATAATTAGGACAGACACTCTATCCGTATGTTCTCTTTCTTTATAATAATTTTCTAATTTTTTGATATTAGCACAAATGTTTTTTGAATTTTCTAAAGTAACTTCACTAATTTTTGTTTCGGTTAATTTCCATACATCAACTAATTTAAAAGTTACGTTGCAGGCAGGAACTTAGTTTTTTACTAATGCCCATATTTTTTCAATGAGATTTAGCTCCGAATGATAAGGTGGTAGACTGTACCTTAATTTATCATGTTTCGCTAGAATTTTATCAATTAAATATGTTTTACAAAGTGACTCGTAGCCCTTAAGTTAGAAAATCCATTACCTCTAAATATGTCACCTTGTTCGTTCTTGGTTGTGAAGCTGTTAGGTTGTTTCGGTGTCCTCATGTGACGCTTCTTTGTGTTTTCTCTGCAGTATTCACTGCCTTCCATCTCTCCCTGTTGTCCCATTCTCCATAGTTTAGGTCTCTCTTACTCATGGCGTCGTCTACTTCGTTCTTCCAGGATCTTCGGGGTCGTCCTCTTATCCTCCTTCCTATAAGGCTCCATTCGGTTATTCTCTTTATCCATCTGCTGTCGCTAGTTCTTCTTCCATACCACTTTAGCCTTTTTTGTTCTATATTTGTTAGTATGTCTGTTTCTATTGATATTATTTGCTTTATTTCGTCATTACTTCTCCTATCCATTTAATTCTTCTCCTATCCAATTGAAAGCACGATAATTCCCGGTAGAAGAACATTTGGGCTTGTTAACTTGCGTCAAGTATGTACTTTGGAATACCGCCAATTGAATCATTTCGCAATTCAATGAACAGTCTTTATTACATTGATAAATGTAATTTATCCGAAATTTCAAGCTCACCCACAAAAACAGGTTTTTGAATTTTTAAGCTTATACAGGGTGAGTCATACAGTGCGTTAAGTTTTTGATTAGGATTGCACACTATACGGAGCGCTAAAATCGGCAACGTTGCAAATGTTCGTTCTCCGACCCGAGACTATCTCAGTATCTACATCGACAGAAAATCATTATTTATTTTAGTTTAGTAACTCACAACAACGTTTAGGGTGTACTTCTCTGTCGTCTGATCTCATGTTTCATTACGTATAGCCGATTTTAATACTAGGAAATTCGATAAAAATGCACTGACCTAATCGGTGCATTGTTATCGATTTTTATTAATGTGAAAATTTTTTTGTGGTTGAATTAAAAATAAAAGCGTATTTCTTTAAAATTTCTTTAAAAAGATAAAATAAAAAATATACTCTTATTGAAAATTAAAATATTATTCCTAATAAAATAAAAAATAATTCTTTATGACCTAAAGAAATGGTTCAAATAGTTGACCTTCTACGGCTGAACAGTACCCCAATCTGTCATAAAAACTTTTGCGAACAGATGAAAGAGTTTCTGCTGTAACAGAATTGGAGACTTCTCTTATTCGATTTTTTAATTCATCCAAATTTTGCGCTCTAGCCTCAGGATGAGCGTAGATAATGCTTTTTAAATGTCCCCAAAAAAAGAAGTCCATGGGTGTAAGATCTGGAGATCACGCAGGCCACTTAATATCGCCTGTTCCACTGATAACTCGATTCGGGAAAGTATTGTTTAAATACTCCCTAATAATTCGAGCGTTGTGAACTGAAACCGTCTTGATGAAACCAAACATTCTCCAGATTTACATCAGGAAGATTGAGAATAGCGGGAAGAACATGATTCTGTAACAAATCGAGGTATACTCTACTATTCAAGTTGCCCTCAATAAAAAATGGCCTATTATGTGGTCTCCTAAAATGCCAGTCCAGACGTTAACTTTTTGAGGACGTTGAGTTCGGTAAACAACACTTCTATGCTGGTTTTCCCGCGCCCAATACCTCGTAATGGAAGGATTGTGTCTCCCTACTAACGAAACAGAAGATTCATCAGTGAATAAAATGTTTTTAATAAAATTTGGTTCACTATTGGCCTTCGTTATTAGAGTTTCAGAAAACTCCATTCTTCGAAAGTAATCGTCTGGATAAAGCTGCTGCGTTTTCGAATATTTAAAATTCTTGTAACCGTGCTTTTTCCATACTTTCGTTACAGTAACATTGCTAACATCTAACTTTCTAGCAACGCTTCTACTTGAACGTGTTGAATCTACCTCCATTGTTGCACAAATTTGTGTATCCCTGTATTCTCTTTCCTCAACTTTTTCTGGTAACACTTCTTGAGCGTGACATTTTCTGCAATTTTTGAAGCAATAACAATTCTCAAAATTTTTAACAATATTATAAATTGACTGTACACAAGGAATTGGTCTTCCCTCAAAAAACACAGAAAATAAATCTACACACTGTTGCGCAGAATTGCCCATTTTATTATTTGAGCTTATAACCATATAAACAGACATGTTTACAAAAATAAATTAAAACTCTACGCTGTGTTATACCTTTAAACAACCACGGTATAATGACAATATGACAAATTTGCCGACGGGCGACGAGCAACGACGAGTCAACGAAGCAGATATATAGTGCAAGTCGA